AATTGTCACAATAAAAAACACCTTTATTTTATTATAAATTAAAGATTACTTAAAATCAATGTCATCTTTCATTTGATACATACTCATTCCCCATATTGTAAAATACATTTTGATTTGGCGGAGATTTAAAAATAAGAATCAAGTCATTATTTTACATTTTAACATAAAGAGTAATAATAAAATGTAGAATGCATCCAAAAATAAGTACATCATGAAATAATAGATAAACAACAAAGTAAGAAATAAAAAGTCAATAACACTTCAAGAAGTTTTCATATTTTCTAGATACACAAAAAATAAAGTGTGACTTATAAATAGGACGAAGAGAGTTACAAAATTAAACCTGATGAAAACTAATATGGATCCTGATTTTAAATTGTGGACCGCAACGTGTGTTGTAGCGCAATTGTACATGCAGTTATGATCTACAGCAGAACTGCATGCAGCAGAAATAGCGGTGATATTTGGATTGATAGGATAACCTTGCAAGGTAACCACAACGAAACCGCAACATACAGGGGCAGCATCGGCTGCATCAGGGCGCATTGGGGATCCAACATATAACATCAGGGCGCTTCGATAAATAAAAGTAAAATAAATATAGAAGAAATAAATATATTTTGAACTATACGAGAGAACACATACTTTTTTCCGTTTTTGTAACAAAAGTGGAGTAAGATTGTACATTGTCTGAAATTATGATCGGAACTATCGAATTGGCTGAATATCTCATATTATGGGGAAAAAATAAGAACAATTTAAAATAGACATATCCAGTAAATTTATCTAAAAAGCAATTTCAATCGTAAATATTTCGATCATTACATAATTCAAAAAGTAATACTAAAGTTCTTACTTCGTGTTATCTCCGTCCCAAAAACTTTGTCATTTAATAAATTTGGATGATAGTTTTGATTAGTATAATATTATGGAAATTGTAAATTTTATTCTTTTAGAAAAGTAATTTGAACTAAGAACATTTATTTTCATATAATTTTAATATTATAAATTGATAGAGTATATCGGCCCAAACCCCATGGCTCACATACTCAAAGGATCAAAACATTTAAGACTGACACTCACGTGGCACTCCTTCGGCCAGATGAGCCCTTTATCGGCCAAAACCAAAACTCTCCAGAATACGGCCCGGAGGCCCAGGTGCAAAATGGGTCCTCCGTCGGCCAGGCACTTCATAGGCTAGTGGGCATCTCATCGGCTAGAGTTCACCTCGTTGGCCAAAAAGTACACTGGCAGGATAGTTTTTATATTTAACCAAATAAATCATGTACTCAGCTCATTAATGCCTTTATTATGCCCAAAAGAGGCCTTATTATTGTAATAGGCCTACTAATCCCAAGGCTAGCTAGGAGCCTAAATCCACATTTACTCTTATAAATAGCCCCCTAGGGGTAACTATATGGAGTTGAGAAATATTAATTACTCACTTTCTTTCTCTAACCCTCACTTCTCTCTAAAGATTAATACTTTGTCATAAATAATTTTGAATAAAAGTATATAGTTGATCAAAGTTTTGAAAATGACAAAGTTTTTCGGAACTAAGGTAGTATTTGATAAAAAGTTAGCTAATAAGTTTTACTACAGATTACTCCCTCCGTTCTACTAAGAGCATCTCCATTCATGATACTCAAGTTTACGGTTTTTTATGACTTCTTATTACTATGCCACTTCCACATAAGATTATCTCAAATAATCTCCAAACCTATCAATTTCTCCGCATTCATGATCTTAATTTACCTAGCTTTTTTATGAGACATGCATATCACTTCCACATGAACTACAAAGCTAGTCATCACCTTAATTATGAGTATATGCCTAGAAAATGGAGAGAAGAGTCTAAAAGTTTGAAATAATCTCAAAATAATCTAGCTTAGAATTTGATACCAGATTATTTTATCAAATAATCTCAACTCCTCATCCATGATCCCAAAAAAATCCTCCACATCATCAAAATGATCCCAAAAATAATCTATGGATGGGGATGCCCTAACAATGAGACAAGAGGGGGTGACACCCAAACCAATAAAATTGGTTTATGTGATTGATATTGAATTGACAAAATAATAATAAAGTAAGAATGCTTTAGATCCACACAAACTTTACCAAACTAGGTATGAAATAATTTTCGTAGAACGGACCGGAAAGATAAAATAGGATAATCTTAGTGAGACAGATGAAGTAGTTTTGAAAATGAGTTAGGGAATGGGGTCTAAGTGCCTTTGAATTTAATTATTTAACAAATATTACGTACCACTTCCTCCGTTCCTATTTTATCTTTTCACTTTTAATTTTTTGGACATTGCTTAAAATAATATAAACAAAGCATTGCTAAATAGTGGCAAACGATCCTAACATTGTTCAAACAATGTCAAACCGTTTCAATTTCTATGTGTGCATTTTGGAGTGGAAAGGTTAAACAGGGACGGACAAGTAAATTTTTTTGGCTCAAGAGATTCCCGGGATTATGTCATATCATCACAATAAGTCTATCATAGTGATTGTTAATATACAATTGAAAGGAAGATAGATACAATATGAAATACACGTAGTATAAAAAGCACGTAAACTAATCTTTTTCTTGAAGATGTAACAAACAATAGAAGTACACGGTATGTGTTGGCAGCAAAACCAAGTTTGTAAACCTGATTTGGAGGCCAGGCAAAAACACTTGCAAAGCATCTTTTTTTCAACCCTATTATTTAAAAGTGGAGTTGAAAATTACACTTCCACTCCTAATCATGTGCTCTTGGACCGTTGGACGTGAGAAAGTTTAATTAAAATACAAAACCACCTACGGTTATATGCCAGCCATGACATAAGTTTTTCTCCTTCAATTAAATAATAAAATCAGTAAACATCTTTTTTTAGAAACACAGTCCTCACCCAACAAACCTTTTTTTGAATAATTAATTGGGCATAAACACGTATATTAATTAGCGACCACCAATTTAATTATTTTAATATGATTTAATATATATCATAATATGAAAATATAATATATTTATTTCATTTCTAATTTACGCTTATAAATAGTTTTATCTTGAGCAATTTATTCATAAACACAATATTCCATCCTATCCATCATTGTTTGAGTTGATTTTATTAAATGCTTTCTCTTTTTTCAAATAGAGTGGTAAATACGATCATGTCTGTTTGGATGTAGGTGATTGTTGTTGAAAGTGATCCAGAGCTTTATCAATGTATGCGGTATGTTTCCAAAAAGGAATAAAATATACATTCAAATCCAAATTCCATACGTGATATCTTCATTAATTTTAAAACTCTTACAAAATCTTAAACATATACTCAGTATCAAAATAAATGATTTCGGGCAAGTCAGTCAACACTCATCTGTTATTTAAAATTGGATTTTAAAAGTTAAAAGCAACCCTTTACAAAGAAACGTTTTTTTAGAAATACAAAGAAACATTTGGACCTATTAAAATTGCTGAAATTATGACTAAAATAACAGAATTGACTGAAATTTAAAATTTTCAATAAAATTACGGTTATGATATAACAATAAATTAAGAAAAATGTATTTCTAAATGTGTTAAATGGCAAAAAAAATTAGGGCTTCTAATATGTCGGCCGCTGGAGCCTTTTTCCGATTTCGACTTTGTCGAAGATCGGCTTTGCTATTCCTTGGTCGCTGGTGCTCGGCTGGAGTCCAGGTCAGACGCGGAGGGCGGAGATCGGTGGAGGAGGGCGGATTTGCTGTCATGGCTCAAGGAGATCGGCGCTGTGGTCAAGGTTCGAGGATGTGGCGTTGTTGTCGTCGTTGGAGAAGATCGGCGCCGCCTATCCGTTTACTCTAGTCGCACGGAGCAGGGATGAGTTTAGTTATGCAGGGACAGAGGATTGATGCATGGTCTTTGGCAGCCAAAGGTCATGGAGGATCAATTAGCATGGTACCGGTGGTACGACCTCCTCCTGAACCACCACCATGGGATGTACGAGGTGCTAGAGTTCGTGAAAGTTTTTCTTGTAGTTTTTATTTGTTTGTTATTTGTTTTCTTGTGTCCTTTTTGTTATCAGTTTTGACAGTTTGTTTAAATTTTTCGCCTCTCTTTATGTCATTGGGTATGGTTGGATATATGGGAACATGTTTGGCTGTGTCAAGCCTACTACATGATTAGCGATTCATGTTGCTCTCTCAGGGGTGACCGTCTCAAAGTCTCACCATAGGGTTACAATCGTAGTTGTTGGAGTTTCAGTTGGTGTCAGTTTTATTTTCCCTTTGCTTGATGTAATGATCCTGAATCTTTTGATATGAATAGATGTATGTTTTGATGATAAAAAAAATGTGTTAAATGGCATTTTTCAACAACCTCAATTAATTGAATCCAAAAAATAAACTAGAACTACTTATCTGATTTAATAATTAATTTAAAGAGTTAAATAGAAAAAATTAAATGTTTGCTAAAAATTTAAACCGATTAACCGAATATTCAGACTACAGAGTATTAAATATAGTTATTATTTTCTCATTATACTCTGTATAAAACATACTCTTTCCGTCCTGAAAACAAGTTCCACCTTTTCTTTTCGGGTTGTCTCAAAATTAAGTTTCACCTTCAACTTCTTTCTATATTCTAAATGTTTTTATTATTCATTTACGATTTCCCTCACATCACTTCATTGAATTGATGTGTATCACCCTCATTTCACTATTCATTATCCTCTTTATTATAACGGTTTGGTTACTACACCTTTTAATCATTTTTTACTACAATAAAAATATTTTTTAAAAGCCAATTTTATTTCTTATTCTACCTAAAAATTCGTGAAGTCAAACCCCGAACTTGTTTGCGTCACGGAGAGAATTAATATTAAAAAGGAGTACATATTATTCCTTCTTACAACATTTATTATTTTTTTTTATTATTATTGGTTATTACTGTAATGATTATTTAATGTTATTTTTTTTGAATAAGATTATTTAATGTTATTATTACATGAAGTTGCAAGGTTACCACTCTCTCAAGAACCAGCAGTTATAATTATGACAAGAGTGGATCGAATAGCCTAAAACGAAGCTCCCTTTTCCTTCTCTATCTACAAATTTCTCTGTCCCACCCTCTCTTCCATCCTCATAAAAAATCTTCCTTTTTGGGGAATGCAGAATTTTATAAAAAATTCACGCCTCCTCTAGTGGTTCCAATTTTTGGAAGCTTATTCGCCGGAGACAAAATGTCGTCTGGATTTCCCGGCAGCGTTCAGGACCTCTACGGCGGCTCCGACGGAATCTTAAACGGAAGATCTGTCCCCATCAACCACCACAACGTCAGCCTTATGCAGAGCGGCGTTCACCTTCCCTACGGCTCTCAGATTTCTGGGATTGTATCCGACCCGATTTATCAGATCGCTCAACGGAGGTCCGATTTGATCGCGAAGAGATCCTTCGCGGAGTCTCAGCAGCTGCAGTTTCTCCAGCAACGGCAAGGGGCGTTGGGGCTCTATCTCCGGAACGTGAAACCCAGAAATTATCACCACTCGTCTCCGATATCTCCCCTGTCTCCGGTAGATTTTTCTTCTCTCTCTTCAAATTCGAATTCTCCGGTGATGAACGCCCGGTACGGCGTCCCGGTTCTTCAACAATTCCGGCCGCAGAATTTATCCCTGCCTGTCGGAAACGTGAATTTCAACGGTATGTTACATTCTGATGCGATTAACCCGAATTTTGCTAGCGGGGTGTCTTTTCAAAATTCCTGCGTCCAAAACAGAGGCGCTTTGGGTTCTGTAACGGTTGGTGGGTTGGAGACGGAGAAGAAGATGATGAATCAGTTACAGGAGCTTGAGAAACAGCTTTTGGATGATAACGATGAGGAGGAAGCCAATACCGTCGTCTCCGCCGTGACAAATAGTGAGTGGTCGGAGACTATACAGAGTCTGATTCGTCCAACCCAGGCCCATGGGCAGACTGAGTGCCCGAATATGAATCACAAACAGCCGATTTCGCCGGCTACCTCGTCCTCGACGTCGTCATGTGCTTCATCCATGGAGTCGCCGGCGGTGACTTGCCCAAAGCTGGCCATATCGGAGGCGGCAACGGCGGTATCCGAAGGAAAGCTCGAGGTTGCGTCAGAGATTCTCACGCGCCTTGCTGTGGTGGCGAACGTGAAGGGCACCGCCGAACAGAGACTAACGGCTTACATGGCTTCCGCCCTGCGATCGCGCGTGAACCCGGTGGAATTTCCGCCCCCTGTAATGGACCTGATTAGCACTGAGCAGGAGTTCTCCACTCAAAAGCTCTACGAATTTTCGCCCTGCTTCAAGCTGGGTTTCATGGCGGCCAACCTCGCCATCCTGGAAGCTGTCCCGGAGAAGAGACTCTGTAAGATCCACGTCGTTGATTTCGACATCGGCGAAGGCGGGCAGTACTTGCATTTGCTCTACGCTCTCGCCGCCAGGAAAACAGAGCTCCCGCCGGTGTTAAAGATCACGACGGTCACGGACGCCGCCGGCCGTTTCGACAAAAAATTCAGGGATTTCGAGGACCGGCTCCAGAACAAGGCGCACTCCCTCGGCTTGAGCTTGACCGTCAACATTGTTTCCTGCTCAATCAACGAGCTGAGCCGGGAACGGCTCGGCGTGGAACCGGACGAGGCTCTGGTCGTGAACTTCGCTTTCAAACTGTACAAACTCCCCGACGAGAGCGTGACGACGGAGAATCTGCGGGACACGCTCCTGAGGCGCGTGAAGGGGCTATCCCCGGACGTGGTTTCGGTTGTGGAGCAGGAGCTGAACGGGAACACGGCTCCATTCGCGGCGCGCGTGAACGAGGCGTGTGGGTACTACGCGGCACTGTTTGACTCGCTGGACGCCACCGTTCCGAGGGACAGCATCGACCGAGTCAGAATCGAGGAGGGACTGGGTCGCAAAATGGCGAACTCGGTGGCTTGCGAGGGGAGGGACCGGGTTGAAAGATGCGAAGTGTTGGGTAAGTGGGGAGCCCGTTTGGGCATGGCCGGGTTTAACTCGGTGCCGATGAGTCAACACGTCGGTAACTCGCTCCGGTCCAAGCTCAACTCGGGGACACGTGGCAACCCGGGATTCACCATAAGTGAGCAAGCCGGCGGAGGAATCGGGTTTGGGTGGATGGGACGGATACTCGCCGTCGCATCTGCTTGGCGTTAACCCATACTTTTATTGTTCGGCTTCCAAACAAATAGTTGTTGTATTATTAGCCTTTAATTAATTTAATAAATATATATACTGAGTGTCCTAGTAATTTTCTTTTTATGATTTTCTGTCTCTTTTTAAGTTGTACCAAGTTTTATTTTTATCTTTCAGTTCCTATTATTAGTTGCTATTAAGGAATTTAATTAATGGAATTTGGCCCAGCCTAACGAATTAAGAATATACTCTAGCTAGTGGAGCGTTTCAAATTTCACACGATATGTATGGGTAATGCATTCATTCATAACGATTGTGTGTTTGGCAAAGTGGGGTCCTCCAATTTGGTTGTTTACATGTTGTGTGGTTGCTGTTTGATTTATTTAGGTTTAAGGTAGGTCTAGTTGCTTTCGGAACTCCGAAGTCTAAATCTTTGAACTTAGTTAATGCAAGCTTACACTCGGTAGATGTTATTATGTCTCTTCCACTAATATTGTGATATAAGGAAAATGATTTTTATGTGATTGATATTGATTGATAAAGTAAAAATAATTTAGAACAATATAAATTTTATCAAATTCGATATGTGACAATCTCAATTGACAGATAAAAAAGAAAATATGAGAGAATCTTGGCAGAACAGGTGAAATATTATTAACCAATAGAATTCTTTTAAGACACATTCATAGATTTCATTTTCTCTAAATAAGACTTGATATTACTTTAATACCCATAGCTTAATTAATTAAATGTCCCATAATTTCCTTGCATAATCATGGTCAGTCAAGTGGTGACGACGATGGTGATCTAATGACCTGGGGGGAATATGGCAACCGGTGATTGACAATTAGGTAGCGGTCTGATGACCTGGGGACAGGAGTCCTCCAATCCTAAGAGGTTATTTTTGTCCAATTGCAAATACAAAAAGTCTTATTTATGACATTTTAAACCAATAAGCCCTAACTTTACTACTCTCTCCCTCCGTCTTCATATGATTTTCTCATCTTCCCTTTTTCGGAATAAAGTGACTTTCTTGCCCTTGAATGATTCCTTCAAACCAACGATGCGCAAAATGAGTAAGTAGAGGAAGCGATGGAGATGCCCTATATCACAATTGTCTTCCAAAATAGAATGACCTTTTGGCTTCTGAAAAATTCCGGCAAACAAATGATAGATGCACAAACATGAAAAGTAGAAAAGGAGATGAAAGCAGAGAGACAGGACTACACGAATACTTTCGTTATTTTTAGGGATCTAGAAAAATGAACTAAGGATGGATTATAGATGCTCTAGCTAGAAAACATCCATATCCAAAAGTCGCATGGACCAATACCACCCAAAGACGGATGACTTGTACCCATACTCGAGCCCGACAGATGCTGAGTACGAGTTAGAGATCCAAACTTATCAGACTTGGAGACTTGGGTGCCCCTTAGGCCCTAACCCAATACCAAAATTTGACTTATAATAAGAATAAAATCAAATCTCATTTTTCGTGTGGAACAACTTTTCTTGTTTTCTACATGAAAATGCCTTTGAGGAACTTTGACAAACAATTTTTCATTCATTTTTAAAAGGTTTTTCTCACCATAATAAATAACAATATTCACCTCTATAATATATTCATTTGATCTCACCAAATACGGTTTGTGGGTCCTTATGATTAGGGAGTTTTTCCCAAGGCAGCAATTTATTGATTTATTAAACCACTTTTCTAATAAGGTTTTGCTAGAGCGGAAAATATATCAGTAGACATTCTTTGATTCAAGCTGAGGCTTTATGGGTCTGTGCTTCTTAGGTTGTTCTTAATTGGACAAATTTCAATCTTAGAGCATGATAGATCAGACTTAAACAGAGTATGAAATAAGATCAAATGATCAGACCATATCATAGAAACTTTGAAATTATAAAATGGGGTAATTTGAGTTTGCACTCTATATTATTGTCTAAATTGGACTTTGCACCCCGTTTTTAAAACTCTTTGTTTTTGCACCCCAACCCCATATGAAAAGACAAAAATGCCCTCAATCAGAAATATATTGAAGGGGCCTAAGTTAAAAGATGGGAACTGGGAAGTATTATTGCTTTCTTTTTTGTCTAATTTTTACCGGGCTGGCAATGTGGCACACAGAGTTTTTTTTTTTATTTTTTTTTTTTTTTATTGTCACAGAGTTTGGCTTCTAAGTCGTAGTATAATACGAGTACACCATACTGTAAATTTCAAATTTATGGAATCATCTTTACAACCATGCCACGGCACATATAAATGTCAACCTGTGGAGGACGTACAAATAATACATTTGGTCTTTTCGTACGAAAAGGGAAAGAAGTTTTTGTATTTCTTTTTGAAAATAAAAGATGAGTTTTTATATTAATATGAAGATAGCATACAAGATAACTTCCGGACAGTTACAATAAATCTAATTGTAAGACCTGAGAATATACAAATAAGCAGACACTTCATACAAAACAATTTGACTCATTGACACGAAATGAGCAATTCTAAGCCTAAAACGGCTAGAACTGAAATATTGGCTATCAAAAGTAGTTCAAAAATCCAAATTTCCAAAATAAGTATTACTATAGAAGAAATAACAATGGAATAAAGTCTTTTCACCATATGAGTGAATACTAGATTCTTCTTCTTAGTTCTTACTTTGTTATGAAAAGACGTAGAAACATGTAGAGACAAAAAAAATCTCGTTATGCCTCATTGCCTCTTCCAATATCTCTACGCAACCTAACAGAAGGCATATAGAAACCCCCAATAAGGCGAAACTGACCGGGACACCAAAGCCAATCCCCACGCCGAGGGAGAGAAAACACACTGGAGCGGCAGGGTCCGTAGACCTAATATAGTTAGTATGAAGGTTACCTTTTTTTATTATGGAGGCCCGTTCATGATATACTCCATGCCAACATATTCTTTTTTTGCTACCTCTCCTAGAAAAAAAAATCAATACAAAATGAATAGATGACATGAATCAAAGAGTTTTTTCCTATAACATCATCGGAAAAAATTAGAAATGAAAAAATATATGATCAGTGTGGTCTCTATGAAGATTATTAATAGCATATTCTATTTTTTCATGTAAACTTTAGTCCTAGCATGTTCTTCGTTTGTTACGCGTTCATGAAAAAATTCACTACTAAATGAAAAAATACATAAATCAAAGAGGTTTTTCTTTTAATATCGGTAAAAATATTATAAATACAAAATTGCATTGCCAGTAGAGTTTCATACCAATATTTTGCTATTGGTTTTAATTTAGTTAGGATTGAGAGCTTCTTTCCCTCGTAGAGCAGCTTGCGTGTGTAGGTTTAGTTTTTCCGATCTGCCCTATAAGCGTGTGTCCTATTTTTCCCTTGCCAGGGGGATGGAGAGACTTATTTCTTGGTTTTGGATTCTCTATCAATACCCATGTACAACGATGATCAGACGTAACTCTCCATAACAGTTTTTGTTGTGCTTGGGGCAAGGCTTGTAGCCGCGACAACGGCCGCTTCACTTGTGATATCACCGGTGGTGACTACATCGTCATCTGTTTTGGATTTCAATCTTTTGGTCTTGGAGGAAGAAGATGAAGTGTTGTTGATCCGGCCTCCTCCTGAGCCGCTGCCATAGAGTGCGTGAGTGGCTAGGGTTTGTTTTAGTTTTATTTCAAGTTTTATTTTTATTTTGATAGACTATTTACCCTATCTTTGGATTGTTTATGTTAGTGGCAGTTTTGAGTTATCTAGTTTAGCTATGATCAGAAGTATTGAAATCTCTACGACCGTTAATTGCTTCAAAGTTCCAGTATGTTCAGTGAAATGTTTCGCTCTTTTGAGTGAACTTTTCTATGTTTGACCAGAGATTGAGGAGGGCCTTTCGGATATTATGAGTCTAGTGAAATGTTAAAGAGTACAGTGACCTCAAAGGTCAGAAGGAATTCTATATTGTTTGTTTGGTGGTCAGTGATTCGTACTGCTTTTTTTTAGGTGGTCGTCTCAGAGGTGATTGTGGGACGTTTCTTAAGTTTAGATGGAGTTTGTTAAAGATAAGTGATGGATTTTGAGATATGGGCTGGTTGTAACTCTTGATTCGTTTGGTATTTTAATATATCTTTATTTTCCTTTTAAAAAAGTATAGTCACCACTTTGTCTTTAAAATCATGATGGTCAGTTACATTTAATTTAGTTATATGCTCATAATTCTTTTTTAAGTCCGACGTGGTAGTAATTTTTTATTTGAAAGTAAAGAAGAAACTAATGATTTTCTCTTCAACCAAGTGGATAAAAATTGAAATCCAAAAGTTCTTTTTTATAATTCAAAACAAATTCTTGAAATAAGAGAAAGTGGCAAATAGGGAGGGGAAGGATGGGTTACATAGGGGCAGCTGCCACTATATATAGATATATAGTGAATGTTTTGTAGAAATAAATCCACACAAAAGTCTCTTAAAAGTCTTAATTGTATGTTTCACATAACAATTTTTACAAAAATATTTTAAAATTTTAGAATTTTCTTGAGAAGTTACACTGAGTCTCTTTTAAGTGTGTGACTTCTAGTATTAATTAGTCACAACATGTTTGATAGTTTTGCCGAAATAACACTAGCGGTCTATAGAGATAAAACATAGTTTATAAGTTACAGAGATAAGTACGAATAGTATTAATGAATTTCAAATTGTTACATCGGCCAAATGAGGGTTATTTATATTAGTCATAAATGTTATATTTATTAAATACATGTACAAGTGTAAGCTTGTCTATTATGGGAAGTTTTGATGTAGGGCGGAACCGGGCACGTTGCAGTTCACTAAATGTGTCTGTTGAATCTGTAAAATCATGGACCGATGTTCCTTAGGCTGGGGCTGAGGGAGGAGCCCTCAGGTGTTAAGGGAACTTAGCCGAGAGGCCGTGCAATCGACATAGTCTTTCTGGTCCGATTCTGTATGTTGTCGTGATCCACGGCTTCTGGCTACCCACCTGAGGGGTGGTTGTCTATTTGTTGGGTCTCTTGTGGCTCAGGGCTCGTTAAGCATATATTTGTGTAGTTCAAGTATACGGTCCAAGGATCCCCGTATCATATACTGCATCAGGAGTCCCCCATTCTTTGTTGTTGAGAATTAGTCAAGGCAAAGGGGTTTGGTTCTTTGAGAGCTCCATTATTTGATGCTTTCACATTTTTCTCGTTACATATGATGGTAAACAAATTGAGGGACAATCCGTCTGTCCCCCACGGCTGCTTGCCAAAGGTGGTTTGGGTCGGAGAATTTGATGTTGTGGTGTGTCG